CTTTATGAATGTTTATACACAACATATATATATATATACACACGTGACTTTTGGATACCTTTGAGATGAGATCGTGTTAGAGACGGTAGCAAGAGATGCATTTACCTGCATACCTGACAGTGTGTATGGTATGGAAAAGCTGTCTGGTGACAGTTTCTCCGAGGGCCAGAGATCTTTTAAAGTGCCGCTCACTTCAAGAGAAGAGTTAACAACCCTTTGCTCACTCTGACCAAAGCAACCAATAGATACCATGGCCAAATACCCACGGCGTGTCGTGCCTTGATGCTCACTCCAACCAGAATCTTGGTTGAGAGCGCAATCCTCACCGTGCGGCGTGCTTCGCCCGAAGCTGGAGAATGTCCAATTCTCCGAAGGCGGTTTTTGGATGAAGGGGACAAAAGATGAAACCCCGAGATGAGCAAGTCATCATATAAGAGTATGCAAGTGAGTCAGTCCAAAATCATACCCTGAGCATCCCTGTGCTCACATCGTGTATTTCTTAACTCCTGCATACTCCTCCCAGGCCACATGGTTCGAACCCACAGAACGGTGGGGCGTGGCCACGACGTGGCATGCCGTATGCCGATTGGGGCTTCATCAGAGGATCCGAGGTGTTGCCTGCTCCAGAACACCACAACCACCGGAACTCACCACCGTCTGCGGAACTCAAAACGGGTGGGAAAACCAAACGCAAACACTGGGATCAATACACACCAGTTGTGAGAACCCACCTCCTATTTTCAGAAGAAATCCGAGTTATCTGGGATCCATCGATGATCTCAGGTAGTCTCCAGATTCCTTTGAGAAAACCTCCCACATCTCCCTCCCACATCGTCCACTGTCCTTGAGGGCAACATAGTCAAGCGCGCCAGACCGGCCTAATTACCTCAACTAATTATATACCTCAAAAAAACAAAGCCAAAGCTGCAGAATGCTGTTGCGCCTCATGCAGATATTGGAGTTAGTCCCGAAGGAAGAGTTCGAGATGGAAACCACCTATGCAGAGAATGCCCCGTTGACGTCCGGGAATTCCAAGTTGTGTAGGATAGCTTCCAAAGGTCTCCACCTGTCTCCCTGGTTGTCTCCCTGGTCTTTGCGTGAATAGGATTCAGCTGCAAATCTTTAGCAACGACCCTGGCACAAAAAATTGCCAGAAAGGTCAGCTGGAAAGAGATCAAAAAATACTGTGCCAAAAAAAAAACGAAGGACCAAAGTCCTTCATGGTCCCAGTGCAGCCAGGAACGTGTCCCTAGTACTGCTTGCGTATGGGCCCTCAGGTTCAAAACCCTGCACCTGCATCTAGGAATCTTTTTGGAGTTTATCATAGTTTATCCTAAAATGTCCATCAACATCAGCCAAAAAAGATCATAGACATCAAAGCCTCTGAGGTTTCATCAACATCATCATGTCTCATCCTACCGTCCCTCATGTGACCCTCGTCCACCGTAAAAGGACGACCACTCAAAGAGCAGAAGACCAGACGTGCGCCTCAGAAAAGCATGTCAAAAAAAGTAGACAGCCAAAGCACCATGCAAAGTTTCTAAAACAACAATTTCTGAGCTAAACCTTGGGTCATCACTGAGCTAAAGCGCTTGTCGAGTCTGGTCGAGTAGACACTGTTTCTTTGAGCGAGAGATCATCGGTATGCGGCGTTGGGCAGCTCCGACTTCATGTCGAGGGCCGTTTTTTCCACACATTTCTCCCTTCGACTCCTTCGACTCAGCCAGCATACGCTTTGATAGAGCCGGGGCTTAAGGGAGAGACTGTTTGGTGTGGAGAGTCATCCTGACGGAAAGTTTGATTGTTTGGCCTAGTGCTGTTTTCAGCGTTTTGAGGAAAACGCCAAAAATATCAAAAAATCCACTCCCCTTCACTTGGACCCCATGATCTCAAATAACTTCGGAATGTATCTTTGTGTGTGTAGAGTGAAGTGATCTTGGGAGCTTAAACATCCAGTTCGCCATAGAAATGACAAAGAACAGGCAACCTAGAACGCAGGGCTGTGCGCATCTTTCGGATGAATCTCCAAGTGTAAAGTCCCAATGGGCGGGGGAGTTTCATAGAATCTCCCAACGTCACCACGACTGCACGTCGAGTTTGGGACGTGGATGTGATTTCCGGGTTGACATGCGTGTCATCGAATTGCATCGTTGTCTACAGGCCTGGAAAGGCGCAGACCGCAAAGAGCTCTGAAAAAAGTGAGCCATATGCAGGGGTCAAAGCATACTTACTGTAATATAGAATTGAAAACATTGCGTTGAACGGTTACTACAACTAAAGATGCGTAGCTTAAAAGAATCCAAAGACTGGTATCTTAGAGTAGCTCTGTGAGAGATCTGCTCGGCGCGCCCGGCCAAATAAACTAACATACGGAAACGAAATTGCCATCCGAAAACGAAGCCCTTAAAGCTTCCTAGCCTCCTAGATCTCCTAGCTGTTTCTGTTTAACTTTTTACCCCGCAGACTTGTGGGCATCCACGTGGCCTTCCATCCTATGACCCCTCAAGGTAGGAACGGCGGCTTCAGGGTCTTGTCCTAGGCCCGCATCCTAGTAAATCTTTCCACTGCTCAGGCCCATGGCAGCTTGCAGTGCCTGTAAAGGCCGACCACATAAAAAATGGCAGTGGCTCCGCATGAGGCATGCCATTCCACGAGGCCACCACATGGCGGCTTTCAAGACCTGCAATAAACGCCTCCTCCCTTGCACCTGTCATAAGCGCCACCGGCTCACATGAAACCGGTCAAACTCTCTCAACAATGCTTTCTATGTCTAGGCCCACCACGTAGGAATAGCAGCTTCCACAACCTGTGAGTCTACCCTTCAACCTGCAAGGCCGGTTTCCTTTGTCGACCCTGCCACCTCCTTCCAGCCCAGCCCCACCAGGTAGGAATGGCGGCTTTGAAGACCTGTGAGTCGACCCTTCAACCTCCCTCAAGGCCCGCTTCCTACATGGACCTCCTTCTATAGGCCCAGCACTGCAACTACATCCACGTGAACCCGTCCACCTACTTCCTAGGCCACCGCGTAAGAATGGCAGCCTTTGAGAAAATAGCATCAGTCCACTAAAACAAAAAAAACTATATTATAATATATATATATACGGAGCCGGCTGCCGCCCAAAAACATACGGATGAAATACGTCTTACGCTACCTCTGGGGACGTTTCCCATAGCCGGGCCTTCAGGCAACCTAGAACGCAGGGCTGTGCGCATCTTTCGGATGAATCTCCAAGTGTAAAGTCCCAATGGGCGGGGGAGTTTCATAGAATCTCCCAACGTCACCACGACTGCACGTCGAGTTTGGGACGTGGATGTGATTTCCGGGTTGACATGCGTGTCATCGAATTGCATCGTTGTCCAAAGGCCTGGAAAGGCGCAAACCGCAAAGGGCTCTGAAAGAGTGAGCCACATGCAGGGGTCAAAGCAGGACTTGTAGCGAAAAAACACTTCATTGAAGGCATTGCGGGCGTTTCCATCAAATTACTCATGAAACCCACTCGGGCCGCCCGTGTTCAGGGTTGCGTGTGGCACGTTCAGTTCTCTTCAGCCCTGTGAAACGATCAGTCTGGTGTTCCTCTCTCAACTGAATTCAACTGAATCAAGAAAAACTGTGGTCCAGTTGTCAAGCCCTTCAGTCTACATTGGTGAGTTTGGATGTACAGCATCGGTCTGCTACCGCAAACACTCGTCCCCAGTGGTTCTCCAAAAGCCACCAAAAAATAACACGAACAATAACGTCACTGGCATGTCGCTATTAAACAAGGAGATCTGGTGGGTTGAACGTCTTCCCCTTTGACTCCGCTCTAGACTCTAGCCGCAAGCTGAAACATCCTCTTCCAGTCGAAATGTCGCATGTCACTCAAGACAAACTGACTGACTGAGGGCAAGTTTAGGTGACTTGGCCTCCGAACTTACCACAAAGTATCAGGGCTGCACCTAACGATGCAATTGCTATAGTCATCATCTATGATCATTATCTTAGAATAATGTTTAACCAGACTGCGAATCAGCGTCGCACCGGTTTGCCTTCCAGCGGAGCCCTCTCGCAGTGTGGGTGGCTGTAGGTCAACTCGAATTCGATGGATGCACAACAGAAACCTCATGCAGGATCATGAATGCTGCTGGTGCTGGGAAAATGCTTGGATTGCTGGTGTTCATGCTTTTTGTCCTGGTGTTCCATGGCACCCCGCGATAGTTCATCTTGCTTGGGGACCTGCTTCTTGACGGGCAGTCTCGATGGGCTTATGGAGCTCTTGCTGGCAAGACTGATGTATGGAGAAATCGCGAAGGTCTCTTGGCAAAACTTGCGCAATTGAGACCTCCGAAAGCCTACTGATTGGGAAGCTGACCATATCCTGGTCCCGAATGGAGCTGGTTTCACTCTGCGTTCCAAGGTGTTCTTGATGGATACCAATCCTAAGCTCCAAAGAAATGGATACGGATACCCTCCCTTCAAACAAATGGAACAATTCGTGGAAATGTGTGGAAATCGCTCGTGGCCCCTGTGGGTCAGACTGCTTGACTGCAACCGGATCTGCTTGAAGACTGGCTGTCAGACCCGGGGGACCTTGGTTCGTTTTTTCCCACCAAACATGAAGAGAATAGACTACTAGACTACCTGGTTTCGGTCAACCTGCCCTGGGTGAAAGGGGCTTCGGGTGGGTTTTGACCCACTGCCATTTTGAGGCACCAAGCATGAATAAGAACCTTTCAGGCATGGAAATCTGCCCTCCAACTCTATGCGTTCAAGAGCTCTGCCACAGGAGGCGGCGTGGAATAGACTGACTTTAAAGTCAATGTTCAGAAGTCTGCGCAGCGTGCACAACCACCGAATTCGCCGTTCAGGGGGGCGGTCCCGTCCAGAAGCCCCAACTCGCTGATGCTGTGTGTTGGGTCTGAAAGACTTCACAATTTTGTTTTATTTACTTTGAATTCTATTCTAATTCAAATTCTATTACTAGTAGTAAGAATGCTCCTGGTAGCGATGCCAGGAGCCCCTAGTAGCGTCCTTGCTCCTAGAAGCGATGCCCTTCGCTCCTAGTAGCGTCTGAGATTTGACAAGCAGGGTGGGAAGAATTCTTGCATGTCAGACATCGTCATCGTATTGTGTGCCCACAAGAAGGGCTTCCTCCACAACGTAGCTTGCAGCGGTCCAGAAACCAACCCCCTTAGCCATCAAACGTGAGATAATTTGAAATTCTGTCGTGACCTGGACGAACAGCACCTGAAAACCAAGCGTTGGTCATTAACACAAATGAAAGCCCGTCATCTTCCAATGAAACACAGCGGAAAAAAGAAAACAAATACACTGCAAGTGTTGGGTCTCCTAAACAACTATGCCATCCCATTTGGCATCAGCCATCATCACTTCGGCATCCACCTGACGATACGACCGGAAACCGCAGCAGAAAAAGACCAAAGGGCCTCCAAAGGGCTCCAAAAAGGAGTCCTTAAGCAACTGGAGCCAGTGCCCGTCAGTGCCCGTTGATGGTCACACCAGGAGTCATGAAATGAAACATCCATTCTTAGAAATCCCCGCGTTTCGATGAGCTGCTCAAGCCACCGTGGAGTTTTCCAGATGTCCCACACGGTGACCAGGGGGCGGTTCGTGACCAAAAAAGAAACCGACCGACTGAAAGAACCAATTTGAGCGGCCAAATGCCTGGTCAATTTCCGGTTGGAGAAAACCTCTGACGTCGGAGGGCGCCACGTTTTCGGGAGGAAAACGAAGACGAAGATGTCTCTGATGGTTTGGCGGAGGGTTTTCAAGGTTCATCGATGTTCATCTAGGCCAAGTAGCTGGCAAGTCGAATCAAGCAGGTAGACAAGATCCTCCCCATGTAAACCACTTCAGCCATCTCCTTTTGGGATGTGGGATGAGCAAGGACCGAGCTGGCCGATTTGGCACAGAAAGCCAACAATGCATACTTCTTGATGAAAACCCTACCTCATCGTGCTTCCTGATGAACTGTCGCTCTCATTCGTCCTTCACCGCGCGTGCCTGGGATGGCCACATGCTGCGGCAGCTCGACCTGCCATCGCGCAGAAGTCCGTGCGGAACCGGCGGAACGGTCCCGCGAGGGTTTTTGGGGGCCGATGATCAGCCGTGAAGGTTTTTGGGCGATGCACAACTAACAGGTCGCTCAAGCCCAGCTTCTACGACTGCAAAGGTGGACGACTGAGTCCCTATAGGACGACGAAAGCTAGGCATTTCACCGAAGCACGAAGAAATGGTGTCGCACGAAGCGGTGAAGTTCCAGATTGTGTTTAACTATTTTTCGGGATACTGAAACAATACTGTACAGAGTGTATCACAATACGGCCCAATACTGGACAATATGGTATTCTGACACAATACTGCCCAACTCTGGCATTTTGTGTGCCGCTAGGTGCCCAGGCACGGTGTGTCACCGGCGCAAACGCTGCAGCGCAAACTGGGCCATGCGACTTGAGAATTTGAGACACCAAAAGTCAAGACCAAACCAGATTCTACTAGCACTCTAGTTCTATTGGAGGTGGAAGCTCATGGCAAATCAAAAGCTATACGCACCCCTGCGACCCAGTTGGGGAAAGTCAATCTTCAAGCCTCTCATTTACCTCGCATCGAATCCTTTTGCTGGCCATGCATGGCAGCGAAACCGGAGTCCCCAATTGGCAGCCCTCACAGCCCCCCAGCACGGAAATCAAGTGGCCATCGCGCAAACACACCCCCTTTTCTTTGGCAAACATATGTTTCAAACCATGGGGAGATCAACCATGATCAACCGACCTGGTGTGTTGCGGCATGGTCCGTGTCCCGCCCTCCAGCGTGCAAAATTTCCGCGTTCCTTCCACCCGCCTCACCGGTAGCACATCCGGGGTTGCAGATTCACCGCCGGCATCATCGCCTAAAAACGTTCGTCCCCGTAAACATCAATAAACATCGTACCTGTACCATCCTGTACCTTCGAGGTCGAACAATGTCAGACCAACTCTGATCGCAGAGAACTGATCTGACATTGTCAGAGGCCGTGCGCTTGGAGCGCCGTGGTAACGGCAGAGCGCTGCCGTTGGGGGGGACGCTTCATTCATCAGTCTTGCATACATCTGCTTACAGCAGCAAGGTTGAAGAAGTAGCCCCTCTCCCTCAGCCCTGACGCCCGTGACTCTGGAATCGGGGAGCGCGTGACTTTTGCCGAGCAGCTCGAGCCCTCTGCAATGCCGCATTCCCCGTCTTCATTGCCTATGCTGTGCACCAATGTGAAGAGCTCCGGGTGTGATCTGGGTTTGTCTCAGAATACGTATCAGACAAGACATGCACTGCTGAGTTGACGACGAAAATCTCGTCATGTTATTGGGACACACCTATCAACACGCCTAAGCCAGGTTCTCAACGGCCGGTGTTGCACCAAATGTTCTCGGTGGAGAAGAACATGGGACCCTTGCATCATGATACATACATCACGATACAATGACAGCTTTATGCATCCTGTGATTTTTTGTTCAACGGAATCACGACGAATCCCCACAGACGTCGATCACGAATCCATGGACGTCTATCACCTGGCGAATCGCCGAAGAACTTCGACCCCTGCCTGTCGAACCTGTGGAGGTTTCTTGTTCTCCGTTTGGCTGGACCTCCAAAGGGACGAGCTGGAGCTGAGACCGGCAGCTGGTTCGTTTTGTGAGAGTTGGACGGGTGATGGAAATTGGAGCTAATCACGGTCCGTTCCCGATTCATTCAAGAAAACTCCGGTAACTTTCGCAAAGCAAAATCACACAAACAAGTTCCTTAAGGTTGCGCTCGAAAAGGAGCGAAAATACCTGAAAATCTCATGAAGGCAATATGTCAATATGTATATGTACATACAGTATACATACCACACAGCATACCATACCATAATGTAGACTCTTGACTAATTAACCCCCCCAAATGAAGAGGTGTTTCAATTCCAAGAGGGCGCGTATGTATCAAGAGTCTACATTACTGTACCAAACATCATTGGCAAGCAGATTCAACCTCAGAAGCGTTGAAGTCGACGATTCACCCTGGCGTCGATGAGTGACGATTCAGGACCCCCAAAAAAACACAAATTACCAAAGGTTCTCTCTGCATCTACGGTGGCACAAAACCACCAAAAAAACCCGATTGGGGTGACTCGAGGCTTCGCCTCGGTTTTGGTCCTCCTCTATTCAAAGTGCCTTCTGGGAGGCCTGCCTCAAGCCCACCCCTCCCCCTGTGCAAAGCTCGACGGCCGAGCTTTACGTCCGGACTTCTCAGGTCATGTCAACCGCATCTTCAAAGCATTGGGGAAGACTCACTCCAGAGATTCAATTGTTGGCGTAGTTACATCGGGGAAGGATTGTCATGTGCACATCGTAGAGTTGACATTCCAAAAGTCAATACAAGCGGTTAACGATCAAGGTTTTGGAATGTTTGAGAGTAATGTTATCAATTGTTTGCTTGGGATCAGTTGCTAAAGCTTCTCCTGTTCATTATTTTTCTTTCAGGCTCCGCGCGCTTTCAGCAATGCTGAGTAGAACTCTTTTGGGGTCGCAGGCGCCACAGATTTCCGGAAAACAAACCGCGGGCGTTATTGCCCCCAACCCATCCCCACCTTGCCCCTCCCTTGAAGACCATCGCGCACTCTTTGTTCTTTTAATGTGCACCAACTACACTATCCTCATGTATCGTAGTATCAGTATCGTAGATAACGATGTCTTCAAGTTACGTAGACATGACGCAAAGATCACCCGTCTTCTAACAACAGAAGACAGTAGATACCCAGTGCTATTGCCCTTCCAGCCCATCCCCACCCCACCACCGACCCCGTAAAGACCATCGCGCACTGTTTTTCTTTGGTTCTATTTGTTCTTGTTTTTGGTGCTGGTGTGGATGGAAATGCAGATTTCCTGA